CATTTTCACTTGAATACCTTTGTAAAGACCTATCCTGAAATGCGGTCACATTCTGAAGTACTAGGTGTGAGGACTTCAACGAATTTTAGGGGATACAATTCAATCCATAATGTCCCCCAGCCCCACTCATACGCACTATTGGCATCTGGAGGATGACAGTGCAATGTAACCTGATACACCGCCCCGGAAAATAGCACATTTCCACAGCGAAGGGGAGAAATTCCCACTCTTGCTACACTATTCACCCTCAGCGAAGTCCATTCCAGGGTGGCCCACTAGGAAGGCATGCGCTTTTCCTCCCTCAGGCTGACTACCTTTCGGCTGACTGGTATTTTAGAGTCTGAACCTATAGTCTAGGCCTATCTTCATGGCCATATTAATCATCATGCTGGCAAAGACCTTCACTGCGCTGGCATTGATGTGTCTTCTGGTCTCACACATCAGATACTATATATAGCTGAGGGATTGATGTCAAGGTTTCCCACCTCTCATTCTGCCCAAGAAGCTACCAAATGTGGTGACTCTGTTAGATCTCAGGATAAGAACTGCTGGAAGTTTTTGCTCCTGCAGGAAGAAGAAGGAGCAGGTAAAGTAAATGAAGTCCAGTGTTGTGGGTAAAATGTGGAAAGAAAATCCTTAAGGTTCTGCTTGCTTTCAGGTTTAGTGGCTGGGCGCGTCAGACAAACCTCCCCAGCAGCCTCTCCACTTGGGAGACAGAGGAGGAAAAGAAGTGAAGGGCTCTCCTCTCTTGAGATTAACATTCAGGAGAGAAAGAGAGAGAGAGACATATTTACAAATTCTGTTGTGAATTTCCTAGACAAATTTGAAGTACCGTGTCAGGGCCAGGTGGACAGAGTGCCGAAAAAGCTGTCCTAGCACTATCCCAGTGCGCTCTCGCTTCTCATTGCCCAGGGTGAGCAGTGGAGGCAGTGCCTTTGCTGATGGCCATGTCCGTGAAAACCGTAAGTTTCTTCCTTACTGTCCTGGATAAAATGATTTTTTCTTCCCTCGGCTTTCAGACGAGGCCAGGGGACATCTGCTCAGAGACATCCTCCCTGAATGCTCAAACCAAGGACTGCACAATGCCAAGGCGGTGTCCGGGGCTCCACGCATGCCTTTCTCCTGGAGGGAGTCCAAGTCCTGACCTTGCCCTCTGAGCTGCAACAGGCCTTGTTCCACACCAGGTTCTCTCCCAGCCTCCTTCATTTTACATATTCATGTGCATGAAAATTAAAAACCCTGAAGATTTAATTAGGGGACCATGTTGGGAGAACAAATGGGCAGAGCTTGGTAGCTGGCCAAGGGAAGCTTGCAGGCTCAGGGAGTAGGGGCATCTGAGCATTTAAATGAAATAGAACAGTGAATGTGCAGAGGAATCACCCCAGTGACAATGGAAATTGCTTCCAGGTTCTTCCTCAGACACAAAGCTGAAGTGCTTTTGTCCTAGAATATATCATCTAACAGCAAAAATGATTCTTCAGCCTTTCTTTCTTTCTTTCTTTCTTTTTTTTTTTTTAAACAAATGTCTTTTGAGAAACATGTTTTAGTCATTACGGAGGATTAACCCCGAATACCTGAAAGAGTCCTGGTGTGACAATTGAGTGGGGAGGTCAGGGGAAGTGCTTGGTGGGCACTGAGGTACTAAACAACTCTGAGCCCTTAGGACATGCAGAGGTGCCCTCTAACTCCAGAGGTGCCCCAGAACAGCACAGCCTCACTGACATCTGCAAGTAGTGGTGAGAAAGCTATTTGCATTGAGCTATAATGAAGCTTCTCTCAAGCCAAGAGCACGTGAATGTTTCTAGCTTTGGTGTGGCCACCAACTATTATAGCTATGTGACCTGAAACAAGTTCCTTAACTTCTCTGGTCTCAACATCATGACATTGTCGTGAGGATTGAGTACACAAGGGATAGTGCATTAACACCAACCCTGGGGGACACATAGGAATTGCTCAATAAATGGTAACCCTTTCTTCTACCACATTTACTTCCCCATAACAGTAGCTTGGGACCATGCTGTCTGTGGATACACCACACAGACATTTAACAGGGATGATGGTGCTGACTTTTCCCTGGACCTTATCACTTGGCCTCCTTTTCCTTATCTGAAGAATGGAGATAAGGGTCCCTTCCTGCTGCGCTGTGTACCAAAGTGAAACCGCAAATAAGAAAGTGCTCTGGTATCTGTGATGACACAGATTCATATTTTTACATTTGATTCGAGAGTACACTCCTTAGAATAAGACTAATCTAATCACGGGTTCTAATTCTGTTTTTTAGGCAATTACTTAACCTCTCTATGCTCTGGTTTTTCACCTGCAAAACAGGGATAAGAAGAGCAAACATCTTATAGGCTATTGTGAAGATTTAAAAGTATGTACAAAATGCTTAGAAGAGTTCCAGGCACATTGCAAACACAATAAATAATATTTGTTACTCTTTTCCTTCTTTCATGATTACAGTTATTGTCATCATTGCTATCAATAGCAGTATATGCAATAATTGTGGTCATATTTCCTCTTTAAGCATTACTAGTCCCAGAAGTCTCTCATGCTTACACATCGCTGCCAGAGACCCCTGCCCCTTAGAAGAAAAACCTGGTTTTTCCTTTCTCCCGTAGCAGCCACCACTTCAGCCAGGTTCTTTCCATGCCATAGGTCTACAAGCTAGGCTTTGCTGGTTTTGAGTTTCAAAATCCAGGTGCTGCAGGTCAAAGTCAAGGCCTGCCTATTTCCTGCTCACCTGGATGAGTTACCCATTGTTGGGATGCTAGATTAGTCTTCTGTAGGTGGCCAAAGACAAGAACACGGTTTCTCTTGCCAGGAAAATCCAATGGGTGATGATACCAGAGATAAAGGTAAGATAAGACCAGTTTATGCAGAAATGCCAATGAACTGGCAGATGAAGGCCCTGATTCCTAAGAAGTCACAGGTCCAGCCTCAAAGTTCTAATCTTATAATGAGGCATAGGGTCAGAGACTGTATTAGTCTCCTATTGCCACAGGAACAAATTACCACACACTTAGTGGCTTAAAATGACACAGATTTGTTCCTGAATAGTTCTAGAGTCAGAAGTCTAAAATCAAGGTGTAAGCAGAGCTGTATTCCTTCTGAAGGCTCTAGGGGAGAATCTGTTTCCTTGCTCTCTCCAGCGACTACAGGCCACCTGCATTCCTGGCCTGTGGTCCCTTCTTCTGCTTTCAAAGCCAACAAGTCAACATCTTTTCTGTCTGACCTTCCTGTTTCCCTTTTATAAGGACCCTTGTGATTACATCAGACCACCTAGGTAATTCAGAGTAATCTCACCATCTCACAGTCATTCATTTAATCACACCTGAAGAGTCCCTTTTACCATGGGAGGTAACACATGCACAGGTTCCAGGGATTAGGATATGGACATCTTTGGCAGGGCCATTATTTAATGTACCACAGAGATTAATTCTGGACACCCACAGATCTCAACTCAAGTTGCCAAGGGCAGTTCTCATAGGAAGTGAACCCTCTGAAAGGTCCTGAGATGTGGACTTGAAGTGACTATCTCAGATCAGGGCCAATCTGAGGGGAGTTTAAGCATCCCTGAACAAAAATTCAGCAGCCCTAGATCAGGAGATGATCAATAAATACCCGCAAAATGTTAAATGGCTAAGTGGCCTTGGCTTCGCTCCTTAGGCCTTACTTAGGTTTCGCATGTGTGAATTGAAGAACACCCACCCTACGTACCTTCTGGGCTGTTGAGACTATCTAGTCTCCAGAACAGTGAGAGAGCAAATGTTGCTGTAAGCCGTCCAGTTTTTGGGAGTTTGTTACAACAGCCACAGGAAACGACTACAACACCCTAAGGGCTGCCTTGTGCCAGGCATTGTGTTGGCTACTGATGAATCAAGACATGAGTCCCTGCCATTGAGAAGTCCAGAGGCTAAAAGTAATTGCAAGATGAATCGTTCATTTATTCAATGAATATTTACTGCATATGTACTGTATGAGCCGAGAAAAAGAGACCCCGTCCCTGACCTCATGGCACTTACAGTCAGAGTTGTTAGCAGTCCTAGAATTTACATTTGCAGTTTACAATTGTGCGGTTTACAAGCCAGGCTTCAAATACATAGTTATATGTGATAGAAGCCTGTAACAGGCATAATAATTATCAGTTCTATCGGAAGCAGGATGGGCACCTTACATACATCATCGTGATGATTTTCAGGAGAGGTAACAAGCAGATTCTGATGAACACGTTGTGGTTTCCAAGGTGCTTTCACTGTATTCTCCACTAGATCGTCTCTGCCATCCTGATGCCCCTCCTCTCACCTGGCTGCACCTTCTCTGCTTCCCATTCCCCCCAAATTCCCCTCCACGGAGAGGCACATGGAAGTGCCCAGAACTTTGCTCCTCTCTAACACTGACTCCTGAAGACCTAATGACTCCTGTGGCTTTAGCACCACTACCTTTGGTGGGGACCCCCAAGGTTTGTATTCCAACCAGACTTGTCGGTTACAATTCTGTGCCATGCACCTCCCCACCCAGGGCCCCTAGCTCCTCACTCCCAGTGTGTCTCCCCACAATCTCCTATACATGCATGTGCACATCTGACTTAAACTCAGTTACCTCTCATCTCTTTCCTAACTTTGTACTTTTTTTCTCTCTTTAGGATGGAAAATTTTGGAGTAATTCTTGATTCCTCTTTTTCTACTCCTATCTCCAGTATTCTGCCAGTCATCAAATCCTGTGCATATTTAATAAATATTATTGAATTGCAGTACTGATAAAACAACCTTGTCCTGAGAGTCCACAGTTCTGAGTTTCAGCCCAGAGTCTAACTGTTTGACTATGAAATTATTTATGTAACTCATTTTGCTTGTCTGTGAAATGGGAGTTTGAGCTAGATGAGCTTTAAGGACTCTGGCAAACATTGCTGGTTGTCTACCCATTATCCACTCTCCTTTTATTCCTTAACAAAACCCTGATTCTTTCCTGGGAAGTGATATGCTCAGCCACAAACCCTGGTGCTCCCTAGCATCCAGTTTTACCCTAAGGATGGCATTTGCTGCATCCTGTGTGTCCTCCTGGTCACAGAATCATCACTGACTGTGGGTAAGTAGCTGGTTCTTCATGCAAAAGATGAAAAAGGAAGGCATCTGCTTGCTTGATGTCTCCATGGGAACATGGTGGTCTGTGCCTAGAGGCTCAGAACCTGAGAGCAGGACAGACATTGGGGTCCACTGGGTCCCTATTTCTGTCTGGCTCAGAGACCCAAACACGTGCAGGGTCTATGATTGCTACAAGATTCTCTGCGGTTGAACACACTCTGGGCCCTACTAGCCCTGGTCTCCCTTTTGGAGCTGGAAGAATAAGATGTGTGATAGACCTTCAGATATGACAGGTGCCCCTGTCCCTGGAGTCTCCTCTTCTTCAGGTTCAGCTGGACCTTCAGCCTGTCAGGGCAGGACTGGTTTCCAGACCCCACACTGTACCGGTTTCTCAAATGTATTAGATAGCAGCCCTCCATCCCTGCACACCTAGGACTAGACTCCCCTCATGAGGCTGTCAATAAGGATACTTTGGGGCTGGGTGCAATGGCTCAGGCCTGTAATCCTAGCACTTTGGGAGGCCGAGGTGGGCAGATCACTTGAGCCCAGGAGTTTGAGACCAGCCTGGGCAACATGGCAAAACCCCATATCTACAAAAAATACAAAAACTAGCCAGATGTGGTGGCACACACCTGTAGTCTTAGCTACCCCCAGTTATTTGGGAGGTTGAAGTGGGAGAATCACTTGAGCCCAGGAGGTCAAGGTTTCATTGAGCTGTAATCATATCACTGCACTCCTGCCTGGGCAACAGAGTGAGACCCTGTCTCAAAAAAAAAAAAAAAAGGATACTCTTCATAACAATGTAAGGGCCTCCCCCAACACTTCGCCAAAGATACAGTGCTGAGATGAAAGTTTCCCAGCTGTCTATGGAGAGTCCCTTTGGGAATGATCTCTACACAAAGGCCATAGCGAATTGTCTCCAATCTTAGCCTGAACTCAGGAAGGCTACAACATAGAAGTTCAGAAGTTCTGTTATAAGATGCCACTTAGACCCAAAATACTGAAGTGTTCCTGGGGTGCCACATGGAGAGTGCCCTGCTCAGGCTGGGCAAGTTCCCAGCACAAAGGGCTCGATGACTGCCAGAAGCTGCTCTACCCAACCTGCCTCCAGCCCCTCTGGCTGCAGCTTCCCAGCAGGGTCTAAATAAAGCTTCCCCTGTCCCCTGGATGGGGCTCAGGTCTTGCTATGGACCTGTGTGAGCGCCTTTCTCCAAACCAGGTGGACACCCCTCTGACACTATCCCTCGGGAGCAAAGTATGAGTATTCTTTTGTATTGTTTCATCAGTCACTGGTTACCTAAGCATCGCTTTTGGAAAACTCAAAGCACCAGTCAGTTCTCACAGCTCTTTCTGCCATCACTCAGAGGACCAGGTGATTTAACTTAATTATAAGTTAAATACTCAGAATTTTGGGTCTAAATGGCATCTTACAACAGAACTTCTGAACTTCTATGTTGTAACCTTCCTGAGTTCAGGTCAAGATTGGAGACAATTCCCTATCGCCTTTGTGTAGAGATCATTGCTTAGCAACAGGTATCTGGGCTATGCAGGGGACTTACCAAGCTGTGGTTCCTCTCAGAATCTTCTCCACAGAAAGGAGCCAGGCTGAAGGAGGGATGGGGAGAGAAGCTGAGACTGAGCCCCAGTCCAGAAGATGCACCCTGAGCAAGGCTGGAAAAAACCCTCTGGCGTGAAGATGCCGTAGCCTCAAGCAGCTGGCACGATGAAGGAACAGAGTAGGGTGATTTCTCCTGCTCAGAGGCCAAATCAGCCAAGGAGGAGCCTTGCAGTCACCCTAGAGCCAAAGTGCCCTGTGCATATAATGTGGTAGACTCACCCCTTATCTCCAGCTGAGACCCCTGGAGATGCTTTCTGGGATCTGAGATGCTGATCACCTGAGAGCTGTGGCACCATCCACAGACTCTCCACTAGAGGTCAGCTCTGGGTGAACGCAGGGTTCTGCCCCTTCTCCTGGCTGGGAGCTGCAGGGCCTCCAAGGGGCTCAGGGCTCAGGGCTCAGGGTTCAGGCCTCTGGCCTCTGGAAGGAGCTACGAGATAGGTGAAGTCTGAAGTGCTCCCATCTCCCTTCTTTGTACCTGCTGTGTCTTCCATAAATTAGCTCTCAGAGGCAACATGGTCTAGCACCCTTCCTCTCAATTCAGAATGACCTAATGACTCCTGTGGCTTTAGCACCACTACCTTTAGTGAGGAACCCCAAGACATGAAGCCCAGCTACCCAGGGACCCACATGTCTTGGCCAAGATACCTGCAGTGAAGAGGGAGCCCAGGGTGCAGCTGAGATAGGGAAAGTTCTGTTAGACTTGTCCATGCAACCCCCAAATATCCCTCCTAGCCCTCTGGAGGTCTGTTTCCCCTTTACTCACTGGGCTAGGAGGGAGGAGCTAAATGCTTGCCTGTCCCTATCTAAGAGTCATGGTTAGGAGTGGAGCTGATGGGCGCGTGGCATCTGGAACCCTTTTTAAAAAGACAAAGTGTGACACACATTTGGGTGGGGGACTAACTGAGCTCTTACAAGAAAGCTCACTTTGTAGAACACAGAAAATTAGAGCTGCCCTAGTTAGAGGAGGGTAGACAGACTCCCAAACTCTGAGTGTCCCTCAGACACCCACCCTCCCGACCCCAGCTTTGAGCAGCCACTGAGGCACCTCTTGGAGAAGCCAAGAGTCTCAGGTACAGTTTGAAAGTCATCAGGCGAGGCATCCCGAAGCCTTGGGCATCACCGTAAGCCCAGGCAGCCCCCGCTCAATGCGTGTGTTCCTATCTGATAAAAGAAGGGAGTTGTGAAGCAAGAGGAGACCCTCCTCACACTGGGCAGCCATTCTGTTGACAAGATGAGCTGCATCATCTACCAAAACCCCAGAAGAAAACACTGGCCTTCTGAGTAGATTCCTGGCAGGTGAATATGGGCAGCCCAGAGCTCTAAGCATGAGCCCCACTGCTCCCATGGCTGCTTGGCCTAGTCAGGCAGCCTCAGGACATTGGAGGACAAGGAAGAGAGTCCTTGAGGCATAGCACCACCTCGCCTGCTGGTGGTGTGTAGCGCCATCACCGTGTGTGTGATGCAGCCAAGCCAAGGCAGGAGGGCATGTGCTCCACCCCAGCAGGGGCCATTCACCAGGAAGGTCCTTCGGGCTCAGGGATGCCATTTCGTCATATTTTTGGCAAAGACTGAACAATGTATAAAGGGACATTGTAATTGTCCACAGGAACTTCTTGAAAAGAGGAGCCAGATCTTAAAACACAAGAGCAACACACATGCATAGAACCCCCATGTTCATGCACAAACCTCACAGATACAAGATGCGCACTAGTGTGGCTTATACATGTTTGTGTCCCACACTTCAATGCGCTGAGGCAGTATTGGAAAACGGTCAGGAGTGTGGATGCTGAGCCTAGAGAACTCTGTTCTGTCTAGCTGTGTGTCCTCAGGTAAGTTACCCCACCTCTCTGAACTTTTGTTTCCTCATTTGAAAAAACACATACATCAGAATTATCTACCTCCAAGGTGCATTATGAGGATGGGCTGGAAAACTTACCTGCAAACTCTCAGCCTGAGATTAGTGCCTGACCACTGGAATGTGACTGTGTGTGTTTTCCCAGCATGATAAGCTAAGCGGGGGAGGAAAGACTCTGGTAAACCAGGAGGTACTTGCTTGTCTTATGCTCTAGGTGATGGGCCCTGGCCCTGGTGGCTGTTGCTGTCTTTATGCCAGTTTTGCAACTCCAGAAGTCTATGGAGAACAAGGATCCTTAGCTCACTATGTGTCCCAAGACCTGCTGCACGTGGGCCATCAGAGGGATAGCGTTGGGGCACTTTCAGCGCATATACTGCTTGCTGGGAAGGCCCAGGAGTCAATGACAAATCCCCATGGAGGCAGGCCCTGACCGCAGGGAGACAATAAGAGGGAAAGAGAGCTAGGATAAATATAGAGGAGAAACTCTAAATAGAGTGGTGACAGATGCAAAGAGAACGAGTAGACATGGTCTGTATATAGAGCTCAGCTTAGGAAGACCATACAGAGGCAGACAGCCAGAGACCCACTGACGGACAGACGACACATAGTGAGAAAGACCATTCTCCAGGATCATGGGCTCAAGTAATTGCTCATGCACAGACACCCACACTTGAGGACAGAGGAAAAAAAGATGAAAACACAGATCCCCGTCCGCCTATGACCTTCGTGTCCACTTCGTGCCTGAACTCCCCAGAGGCCCTTTCTTCTCAGCAGCTGTGTTTCTGCCAGGCTGCTGGCCACCAGACCCACATCGTGCCCGGGCAGCGGTAGAGCCTGGAAGGGGTAGGCAGAGAGTGGGGCAGAGCAGGTCACCAGCAAGCTGAAGCAGGGGGAGGAGGAGACACAGCAGCTTCAAACAGTTCAGGGTCCAGTGTGGCCACAGGCAATTACCAAGGAGCCTTCACTTGTCAGCCCTGAATTTTAATGGTATTAATGAGACCTCATGCAATTTTCTCCCCGGATAAGGTGCTTTTCTTCTATGATTGCTGGTCCTGTGCACCTGTACCTCTCCCTTGTCCTGGCTTTGCCCACTCGGTGTCAGGGAAGGGGAGCACAGCTGACATCTTTTCTGCCTTCTTTTTATGATTGTAATTAATTCTTTGCAAGGGGGATAAATGAGTGTGCTGTCTAAGTATGTAATCATCTAACATCCCATTGGTAATTTCCTGCAGGAGGAGTTGGCTGCTGTCCACCACTGCAAAATGAGGGTGCCACAGAGAGAGGGCAGAGCGGGAGAAATGAGGCTGGAGCATGCCCAGTGCAGCCGACCCTCCTCGGGCTTCCCTCTCCTTGGCAGGGAGGTCAGTCATGTCTCATGCACGCAGCTGGTATGTGTTGGACACTTTCCTCAGGCACAGGGCTGGTTGTGGTAATGGCCACACCTGGTAATGCCTCCATCATCCTGGGAATTGCTCCCAAATGTCCATATGCAAAGTGTTCTGGAGATGGGTTAACTCACCCAAAAACATCTCCTCTTGGGTTCTCTCTGGTTCTCTTTTGCCCTTTCGAGTAGTTTTTCTTGGTCTCTTTTACTGATTATGCTTTTTCACTCTTGCCCTTTAAGTGCTGGCGTTCTCCAGATGTCCCTCTTGGACCTCTTCTCTGCTCACTGTAAAGCACTAGTTCAGGAAGTCCATCCACCCTCAACACATGTTGGGCAAGCCTGCTGGCTTGAGTCAGGCTCAGAGGAGCAGTGAGGAAAGCCCCGTCCCTGCCCACAAGGAGCTCCGTCTTCTAGGAATGCAGCCAGAAACACAACAGCAATAAAACCAATGAGCTCTGTCTTTGTGGACTATAAGAAATGCTGAGGGAGATCAAACTTTTTTTCCTTTTCTGGAAAATGAGGATTTTCGTAGAGCCTTATAGAGTTGTTGGGATTATTGAATAATGGAAAGTGCTTAGAACAGTGCCTGGGAAAATGGTGAGGGCTCAGTGAAGAAAGACACGTAAATATAATACCCTCAGCCTCTTCGGTCTCTAGCCCAGACCTTTCCCTGTGGTTGTAGATGAACATACCTACCTCTTCCCCCAGCCACGTCCATGTGGGAATCCAGCTGGCACCTCAAATCCTACAGGTCCCAGTGGAACTTGTCTCCCACCATCTACGAGTGCTCCCCACAGTGACAGCACTGCCATTCACCCATGGCTCCAGTTGCCTGAGCTAGAACCTCGGAGCCATCTCTCACCCCCACCTAAGCAGTTATAGTGCCCTGGGAACTCTAGTGGGGTCAGGCTGAGGTATGAAAACCCCTGAACTAAAAGCATGTAGGTTCATCAAAAAGTTAAGCATCAAATTAGCCTATAGGCATATACTCATAGATATTTACTCAAAATAATTGAAAATAGGTACTCAAATCTTTGTGCACAAATACTCATAGCAGCACTATTCACAATAACCAAAAGGTTAGCCAGTGGATGAGTGGATAAATGAAAAGTGGTATATACCTACAATGGAATATTATTCAGCCATAAAAAGGAATGAAGTACTGATACATTCTACAGCATGGATGGACTTTTAAATAATTATACTAAGTCAAAGAAACTAGATCGAAAAGGTCACATATTGTATGATTCTAGTTATGTGAAATGTCCATATTTCATGATTCTAGTTACATGAAATGTCACCTATTGTATGATTCTAGTTATATGAAATAGGCAAATCTATTCAGACAGAAATCATATTGGTGGTTACTGAGGGTTGGGGAGAAGGAGAAATGGGAAGCAACCATTTCATGGGTAAAAGAGTTTCCTTTGGAGTAACAGGAATGTTTTGGAACTAGACAGATGTGGTGGTTGCACAATATTGTGAATCCATAGGAATTCCATTCTGAATCCATAGGAAATCCATTTTGAATCCATAAATGCCACTGAATTGCTCACTTTTAAATAGTGTTATGTTATAGAAATTTCACCTCAATTTTTTTAAAAAGCATACAAAGCTTTCTCTGGAGAATCTGTTGATTTTGAACATAAACCCCTCTCTTCTGCCAGCCTAGAAATGCCCAGCACTTCTAGGCAAGACAGGCTCATGGTATGGAGGCTAAGTGGGAAAGATAAGGCCAGAGGATCAATACATGGCTTGTAGGAAGTCCCTTTGTTCCCCAGACCCATGCGCAGATGAGCTGGCTGCCCCCACCTGCCTCCATGGGGAGGCTGCAGTTCTGCTAGTGTTGGATTGGGTGCCGAGGAAAGAGGGCTTTCCCTGCATGTGTACTGACACTAGCACTGAGGCCTGACCCCAGTAACACAGAGGCTTAGAGCAGCCCTGCCACTCTCTGATCCTCAAAGCAGGAGGCAACTCCATCCTATCCTAAGAGCTGCTGAGAGAGACAGTTGAAGGAACCCTGCTGCCCTGGGCTCAGTTGCTTCCACTCAGAGTTCCAGAAGCAGCCCGACTCTAGAAGCTCCCAGACTTAGGAGCAGAAGAATGGGTTCTATGGGGCCACTCCTCTAGAATGTGCCTACAGGGGCTGGGACATACACTAGCAGGGAGGGAGGGGCTCTGGCCAAAGCAGCAGGCCAGAGACTACAGCCAGGGACCCTCCCAGCACACCAGACAGCCTTACTCAACACCTAGCCTGATCACAGATAAAAATGCCCTGCCTGAAGAAGCCCTGAAGAGCTCACATTAGGAAGGTTGGTCAGGGGATGCTAATGATAATTCAGTCCCCAAAGCACGGCAGGTTGCAGAAGCCAGGGAAAGCAGCCCAGGAAAGGCAGGTGAAATGAGGTGTTTTTCAGCTCAAGGGAGCCTTTGCTTACCAGCGCCCCTTCCTTTCAATGCCAAGCTCACGTACTATAGGGGCTTGTAGCAAGGGATTAATTAACTTTCAAAAGACTGGACTCTACCCTGGGCACTCACACCCATTAGCGACTCAGGCACTTGCTTTACCAGTGAGGCCCGGGGCTGGAAGCTCTGGTCTGTCTGTCCTGCTTGCTCCACCCCTGTCTGCCCAACTCTCCTAGCCTCTGGGTTCTAGATGATGATCGATTCTCTGCTGGTCTCTGATTTCATTTTATCATCCCACTTTACCTTCTTTGCAGCATTTTCCTTTTTTTTTTTTTTTTTTTGCCCTGTCCTTGTTGTTATTCTGACTAGGGAGGGGAAAGGAAAGTTGCAAAGCAGTGGAGAGGGTCTATGCGTCTCTCTGTATAGTTCTATTGATTGCACACACACAGACCCTTCATCTTGAGACTCTGGGATAGTGATAAGATCCACTCAGATTTTTATATTACATTTTCCCAAACCATTGAAGTCTTATTGATTCTCCTCTTAAACATTTTTCCTTCCGTTCTCCTCCCCACCCCATACACCTGGTTCAGGCTCTTTTGACTCTCCGCTGAATCATTGCAGCAAGCAACAGCCTTCTAACCCACCTCCCTGTTGCAGCTGGTCCCTCCCCAGTCCACCCCAGCCAAAATCCGAGCAGTTCCCTTGCCTGCTCTGGTGGTACTTAGAGTGTGGCTCCTGGGCCACCAGCATAAGCATCCCCATTGAACTGGTTAGAAATGCAAATTCTCCAGGTACATCTCAGACCTATGGATTCAGAAACTTTGGGGGAAGGCCCAACAATTTGTGTTTCCTTAAGTTCTCCAACTGGTTCTGTTACCTGCTAAAATGGAAAAAACAGTGACCTAGTTAACAGTCTTCAGTGAGTCCCACTACCAGGGCCAGATTCCTTAGGCCAACCTGCAGGACCTCTGGGACCTACTCCCTGCCTGTCCTCTGAGTCCTGAGTCCTGAGTCCTCCTCCCTGCCCTTTCCACCAGCCCCTTCCCAGCACACCTTGCTTCAGCTATTCCCACCTGCAAGTGGTTCCCAGAACAGGGGCTGGTTTAAGACACTGTGCCATTTCCCTCATGCCCAGATGCCCTTGTCATCTGCCCACAGAGCCCACTGGCCACTCCCTCTCTGGGTGCCCGTCACCCCCTGACTAACCCATATCCCTGTTGTACTTAGCTGTCAGCCTATTGCTCTCTGTCCCTAGACTTCAAGCTCTTTGAGGACAGGGTCACATGTTTGCACTTCAGAACCCTAGTACCCTGCATATATGTGGCACCTGATTCAAAGCCAGGACTTCAGCACTGCCCATCAGTCATCACAAGATCCCTGGACACACACCAGCATACAGGCATGGGGGCTTCTTTTTACTGTTGGGTTTACTGTTACTACAGTGGAATTACTGGGCCCCTGGAGGTCTCATAGCAAGTTCACTGAGCTCACCTGGACCCATGCTCATGATGGCATGTCTTCTAGGCAGCATTCAGTATATGTAGAAAGAACAGTAAAGTTGGAGTCTGATGACCTGTGTTGAATTATAGTTCTACTACTTTCTAGCCCTTTGATCTTAAAAAAAAGGAAAAAACACTCCAAGACTCAGTTTTATCATGTGTAAAATGGGCTCTTAAGAAAACCTCCCAGGAATTGTTGTACTAATTTAGATAAATATACGTCTTAGTTTGAGCCTCCCTGAAAGCAGAGCCTGAGACAAGGATTTGGGTACAGGAAATTTATTTAGGAAGTGATCCTAGGGAGTAGGAGAGAGAAGATTTGGTAAAGGCAAGACAGAAAACAGGAAACACCAGTATAACTATTGCTGTAAGGAGTGGGACTATGTCTTGCGGAACCTCTGAGAAATACACAAAACGCTGCCTAACTCCCACCCTACCCCCACTGAACTATCATCCAAAATATAGAAAGTGGGGGCCAAGAGTGGTGGCCCATGCTTGTAATCCCTGCACTTTGGGAGGCTGAAGCGGGAGGATGACAAGGTCAGGAGTTTGAGACCAGCCTGGCCAATATGGTGAAACCCCGTCTCTACTAAAAAGACAAAAATTAGCTGGGCATGGTGGTGGGCACCTGTAGTCCCAGCTACTCAGGAGACTGAGACAGGAGAATTGCTTTGACCCAAGAGGCAGAGGTTTCAGCGAGCCGAATTCACACCACTGCACTCCAGCCTGGGTGACAGAGAGAGACTCCATCTAAGAAAGAAAGAAAGAAAGAAGGAAAGAAGGAAGGAAGGAAAGAAAGATAAAGAAAGAAGGAAGGAAGGAGGGAGGGAGGGAAGGAAGGAAGGAAGGAAAGAAAGATAAAGAAAGAAGGAAGGAGGGAGGGGAGGAGGAAGGGAGGAGGGAGGGAGGGAGGGAGGGAAAGGTGATGGGGGAGGGAGGGGAGGGAGGAAGGAAGGAAGGAAGGAAGGAAGGAAGGAAGGAAGGAAGGAAGGAAGGTCATTTATCACAGTTCCCACTTCCCATAGGTTAAGGGCTGATATGGCCATTAACTCTCTCCTTCTTTCTTCCAGACTGCACTTCAGAGTTGCTCTTGTTTGCAGGTGTGTGGGTTTCTGAAACTTCAGGGAAGGCCTGAAGCAGAGAAGCAGAAAAGTACAAGGTGCACTAAAGGTGGGACTGTCAGCTTGAGTCTGAGCTCACGTGGAACTTTTCACTACTGCTGCAACCAAAATCAGGTGGGCAAGGGGTGTGAAGTGGGGCTCTAAACACACCTGCCACAGTCTGTGAACATACACTCCCATAGAGCATTGCGATTGCCTCTAATGTGCTTTTCGGAATTGAGATTGCCTGTTTAGTGATCACTGCCTGCTACTTGGCAGTGGTTTCCCTGATGGCAGGGACAATGTCTGTCTCGCTCATCACTATATCCCCAATACTAACAAGGCTACAGTAACCAAAACAGCATGGTACTGGTACCAAAACAGAGATATCGAGCAAAGGAACAGAACAGAGGCCTCAGAAATAACACCACACATCTACAACCATCTGATCTTTGACAAACCTGACAAAAACAAGAAATGGGGAAAGGATTCCCTGTTTAATAAATGGTGCTGGGAAAACTGGCTAGCCATATGTAGAAAGCTGAAACTGGATCTCTTCTTTATGTCTTATACAAAAAGTAATTTAAGATGGATTAAATACTTAAATGTTAGACCTAAAACCATAAAAACCCTAGAAGAAAACCTAAGCAATACCATTCAGGACAAAGGCATGGGCAAGGAATTCATGACTAAAAATAGCAATGACAACAAAAGCCAAAATAGACAAATGGGATCTAATTAAACTAAACAGCTTCTGCGCAGCAAAAGAAACTGCCATCAGAGTGAACAGGCAACCTACAGAATGGGAGAAAAATTTTGCAATCTACCCATCTGACAAAGGTCTAATATCCAGAATCTACAAAGAACTTAAATAAATTTACAAGAAAAAAGCAAACAATCCCATCAAAAAGTAGGCAAAGGATATGAACAGATATTTCTCAAAAGAAGACATTTATGCAGCCAACAGACACATGAAAAAATGCTCATCATCACTGGTCATCAGAGAAATGCAAATCAAAACCACAATCAGATACCATCACACACCAGTTAGAATGGCAATCATTAAAAAGTCAGGAAACAACAGATGCCAGAGAGGATGTGGAGAAATGGGAATGCTTTTACACTGTTGGAGGGCTGTAAACTAGTTCAACCATTGTGGAAAACAGTGTGGCAATTCCTCAAGGATCTAGAACTAGAAATGCCGTTTGATCCAGTGATCCCATTACTGGGTATATACCCAAAGGATTATAAATCATAGTCCTATAAAGACACATGCATACTTATGTTTATTGAGGCACTAGTCACAATAGTAAAGACTTGGAACCAACCCAAATGTCCATCAATGATAGACTGCATTAAGAAAATGTGGCACATATATACCATGGAATACTATGCAGCCATAAAAAAAGATGAGTTCATGTCCTTTGGGACATGGATGAAGCTGGAAACCATCATTCTCAGCAAATTATCGCAAGGACGGAAAACCAAACACTGCATGTTCTCACTCACAGGTGGAAGTTGAACAATGAGAACGTTTGGACACAGGGTGGGGAACATCACATGCTGGGGCCTGTCATGGGGTGGGGGGATGGGGGAGTGATAGCATTAGGAGAAATACCGAATATAAATGATGAGTTAATGGGTGCAACAAACTAATATGGCACATGTATACATATGTAACAAACCTGCATGTTGTGTACATGTACCCTAGAACTTAAAGTATAATTTAAAAAAAAGAAAAGAAAATGTGGCACATATACACTATGGAATACTATGCAACCATACAAAAGGATGAGTTCATGTCCTTTGCAGGGACATGGATGACGCTGGAAACCATCATTCTGAGCAAACTCACAAGGACAGAAAACCAAACACTGCATGTTCTCACTCATAGGTGGGAACTGAAGAATGAGAACACTTGGACACAGGGCGGGAAACATCACACACCGGGGCCTGTCGTAGGGTGGAGGACTGGGGGAGGGATAGCATTAAGAGAAATACCTAAGGTAAATGACTAGCTAATGGGTGCAGCAAACCAACATAGCACATGTATACCTATGTAACAAACCTGCACATTGTGCACATGTACCCTAGAACTTAAAGTATAATAATAATAATAAAGAAAACTCTGCAATGCAGACATTCTCAAAGATTTTTGTTGGATGACTGGATGAGTAAAAGTATCTTTCCCATAATGGATACTCAGGATGATCAGCCACAACATTGTTCAGACTTTGTGAATTGAAGGAGAGAATGCACCATTTACTCATGAAATTACAGAGAATCATACAAGATGAACAGGTTGGAATTCCTTTTTCATTCAGGATGGAATAATAGAAACCAGGTTTGCTCTCTGAGCTGAAACAACTGAAAGTCCAGACAACATATACAAAACAATGGTACTTGGAACATTGGGCACTGGGTAACAAAGAAGGGTTATCCCTGAGAGGCCGAAAACAACTTTGGCCAGTCCTATGATCATCCAAGTTTAATGCTTGGAGAAAGTTTCCAGGCAACAGTGGGAAGTGGTAGCTGGTGAGAGGAGGAAAAGCAGAGAAGCAGGGGAGGGGAGAATTACAAAGGGACAGGAGGAAATTCTTTGAGGTGATAGGTATGTTCACTATCTTGATTGTGGAGACGATTCCATGGGTGTATACATATGTGAAAACATCAAATTATATGCTTTTTTTTTTTTTTTTAGGGAGTTTTTCTATTTTACCCGGGTGGGGGAGGGGGGGCACAATCCTAGCTCACTGCAACCTCCGTTTCCTGGGTTCAAACAATTCTCCTGCCTCAGCCTCCCGAGTAGCTGGGACTACAGGCACCCGCCACCTCGCCCGGCTAGTTTTTTGTAGTTTTTTTGTATTTTTTAGTAGAGACAGGGTTTCACCGTGTTAGCCAGGATGGTCTCGATCTCCTGACCTCGTGATCCGCCGTCTTGGCCTCCCAAAGTGCTGGGATTACAGGCATGAGCCACCACGCCCAGCCCAAATTATATGCTTTAAAGTATGCATTTTATTGGATGTGTTCATACCTCAATAAGGCTGGTTTTTTAGAAAAGATGAGGGTGTTGATATTTCTGTCCAGGTAACAGAGGATAACGTGCATTAGACAAATACACACAGAACTCGTTAAAGAGTATGTAAGTAGGCCAGGCACGGTGGCTCACACCACTAATCCCAGCACTTTAGGAGGCAGAGCAGGGAGGATTGCTTGAGCCCAGGAGTTCAAGACCAGCCTGGGCAAGAAGGTGAGTCCCCATCTCTACAAAAATAATTTTAAACCAGGCATGGTAGCACATGCCTGTAGTACCAGCTATTCAGGAGACTGAGGCAGGGGGGTCACATGAGTCCAGGAGTTCAAGGATGCAGTGAGCTGTGACCACGCCACTGCACTCCAGCCTGATAATTCATTCCTTTCCTTTCCTTCCTGATGCTTTATCTTGAAGAGAGAGAAGTAGTGGAGCCTACAGAGTTGCTTAGGCCCCTAGCGGAATGCTTCTTCCCAAATTGCCACTTCCCTAGCATGACCTCCTATTATCTAAATTAAGGAATACATGGAATCAAGTTAAAACTGCATAGCAATGTTTGTACCCCTGCACGCACATACACACACACACACACACACACACACGTCTCTCAGATCTCTCCACAGGCCACTTGCTCACTGTTTCCCACTCCCCTTTGGAGTCTCTGGCTAGTCTTCCTCCAGCCAAGTGTGAGCTTCCTTGGAAAGAAACACAGATCCCCTCAGAGGGTCTGGGGTGAGGCTGAACCCCTGAGGGTCTAAGGTGTACACTGCAGAAGGGAACAACAATCCCAGAAACGGACACAAACATCCATAAGGATTTAGATGTGTTTAATGGAAAAGCAAAACCATGACTGGAAAAAACAGGTAAATATATCTTTTTTAAATCACATGTTGGTTAAGCCTTTCTAAGCATGTAGCAAAGGCATAAACCTCAAAGGACACAATTGTTTAAATCTATGCTAAAAATGAAAGGGGCTGGAGCAAGTATGAATGTTGAGAACCACACACACCTGATAGACATTTCCTTGAAAGGACATGGCACTGTTTGATTAATTGGATCAGAGCGAGGACTCAAGCATCCACAGGGGCTGGCCAGGCATAGGGGGAAGCAGGAGCAGGGAGCTGTGCACAGGTGTGTGAGGGAGACTGACCAGGGGGAGGACACCACCAACTAAAGGAGATAGTGCCTCACCCTCTACCCCTAACAACTGTGACTAAAGCTAGGAAGGAATGAGGGGGCCTCAGCTCTTCAGATCAGCTGTTAGATCTTCAGATGCTCGAGAACTGAGTGTAAAACTTCCTGGCTTATATTTTTCACAGGAGATAAAACAAGGTGCAGACCAAAGAAACCAAGTCTTCAGGCTGGACTATGGGTCTTGGTTGTCTTGGCCCTGTGGGGCAGAAGGGATGAAGAAGGGCAGAGAAGGGCAGAAATAGCCCTCTGAAAACTGAATGGGGACATAGGAGTACACAACCACCACCCATCTGTTGAGAGGGTTTTGAATGTTACAATATATAAATTGAAATTTGCAGCTGCCCTCAGCTTGCACTCCCCAACCCTTTCCACCACCATTCTTCCTTAAATAACAGAGAAGTTTGATGAGTAACATCCAGACAAGGACCAGCACAGGACCTTGACAAAAGTGCACCAAGAAACAAGATGAAAGGAGCAAAATATGATGGAAGATGTTGAAAAATATTAAATTATGTGTACACCCCTCCACTGCTGAACTCCTTCTCCTCTGAGGTGTACTCATTTGAACCTTTTCCCTGAGGTCGGCCCTCGTTGCTTTAGGAGAGTCAGCTTGGAGGGACCTGTGAGCAAAGAAGACAAAATCTTGGCTTTGAGTTCTAAACCAGTGTTTCTCAACTTTAATGTGCTAAGGAACAACCTGGGGATCAAGAGCTCCCAGGAAATGTTCAGGCTGCTGGCTGGCTGACCACACTGAGTGGTAAGAATCCAAGGTCGGATGTAGGACAGGAAAGAAGAGAAAGAGATGGGGCGCGGTGGCTCACATCTGTAGTCCCAGCACTTTGGGAGACCAAGGTGGGCGGATCATCAAGTCAGGAGATCGAGATCATCCTGGCTAACACGGTGAAATCCCGTCTCTACTAAAAATACAAAAAATTAGCCAGGCATAGTGGTGGGCTCCTGTAGTCCCTGCTACTCGAGAGGCTAAGGCAGGAGAATAGTGTGAACCGGGGAAGCAGAGCTTGCAGTGAGCTGAGATTGCACCACTGCACTCCAGCCTGGGTGACAAAGAGAGACTTCATCTCAAAAAAGAAAAAAAACAAAAGAAAAGAAAAGATAAGAACATGTGCTCCTACCCCACTTCCCAAAATGTAATGGCAGAAGAGGAGACAGAAGAGCAAGATAAATATCAGACCCTGAAAAGGGTCACTGGACTGTGTACCCTGGGCACCTGGAAGGCAGGAGTGTTAGAGATCCCTAGGGAGTAACCTGGGGATCTGAGCCTCAAATGCTCAATGTCCTGGCCCAGGAGACAGCAATCTGCAGGCTAGTGGAGGAGGGTGGATGGAGCATGAGACAGCTGGGAGGTGCCTCTAATTTTTCCTTCTGGAAGGAAAGGGAAGGAGAAAAAGAGCAAGTGCACCAGTGTCCTCATCTGTCATAGGAGGTGATGGGCATTGTCTAACACTTGAAACGTGCTGTGGAAAAACACTTGACAACCCAGCTACTGAACTACTTAGTGCAGTTTTTGTACAATTTTTGTGTGACTTCCTGAGTGTCTGCTTCCACCCCTATAACCACAACCTGGATTTTGTATATGTCATTCTCATGAATCAATTTTGCTATGCATGTGTCCCTTAGCAAAAAAAAAAAAAAAAAAAAAAAATTGATTTGCATGTTTTTAAAGTTCGTGTACATGGTATCATATTGTACATAAATATTCTATAGATTGCTGTCTTTGTTCAACATTATGTTTATGAGAGTCATCCCTGTCGATGTGTGTAACTAGTTCATTAACTTTTATCATTTTATAGTATGTATAGTGCATTATCAATTTTTCTGTTGATGGACATACAGATAGTTTCCAGGTGTTTGCTATTATAAATATGCTACTGTGAACATTTATAATCTCTCAGTATATATATAAGAGTTTCTTTATTGCTGAGTGGAAGAATTTGATGGGCCATAGGGTACACACATCTTCAATTTAAAATAACTTGTCAAAGTGACTGAACTAATTCATACCTACAGCAATGGCGCATAAGTGTTCCAATGACTCCACATCCTCAATAATTCTTTTTTCTATAGATATCACCTTTACTTATACATTCATCAGTTGATGGACTTTGGGCTGTTTCCACTTTAAGGCCACTATCAATAATACTGCTATGAACATCCTTGTATAAATTTTGTGTGAACATCTGTTTAAATTATTTGGGGTATATACCTAGGAGAAGAATCTCTGGCCCACATGGTAACATTATATTTAACCTATTGAGAAAGTCTCATACTGTTTTCCAAAGTGGCTGCACCATTTTACATTCCCACCAACAGTATATATGAGGGTTCCAAACTCTCCCTGGCCTCATCAGCACTTGTTATCTGGGTTATTTTTTATTATAGCCATCCAAGAGGGTATAAAATGGTATGTCACATGGTTTTGATTTTCATTTCCCTAGTGACTAATGATGCTGAGCATCTTTTCATGTGCTTTTTGGCCATTTGCACATCTTCTTTAGAGAAATGCTAGTCAGATCTTTTGCCCATTTTAAATTGGGTTATATGTCTTCTAAGTTTATAGGTTCTTTATTCTTTTTTTCCATTAGTTATTGGGGTACAGGTGATGTTTGGTTACCTGAGTAAGTTCTTTAGTGGTGATTTGTGAGATTTTTGTGCACCCATCACCTGAGCAGTATTTGTGGTCTTTTATACCTTGTCCCCTCCCACTCTTCCCCCCAAGTCCCCAAAGTCTGTTGTATTATTCTTACGCCTTTGTGTCCTCATAGCTTAACTGCCACATATCAGTGAGAAGATATGATATTTTGTTTTCCATTCCTGAGGAGTGTAAACTAGAACAGCCACTGTGGAAAACAGTGTGGAGATTCCTTAAAGAACTAAAAGTAGGACTACCATTTTATCCAGCAATTCCACTACTGGTTAAGAAGTCATTATTTAAAAAAGATACTTGCACATGCATGTTTATAGCAGCACAATTCACAACTGCAAAATCGTGGAACCAACCCCAATGCCCATCAATCAACGAGTAGATAAAGAAATTGTGGTGTGTGTGTGTGTGTGTGTATCCTTGAACCTAGGTGATCTCTGTGATCTGCCTTAACCAGTACAATATGGCAGAAATGACACAGGGCAAAAGCTGGGTCTAAGCCTTGAGAGACCGCATGGGAAAACCACAGTGAGAGGCTACTTGGAGAGGTGACGTGGGGAAGGAGAGGCTCCAAGACCACGTGGAGAAATGAGGAACCTAACCCAAACCTCTAACAGCAGCCGCAGTCAAATACTTGCATTGAGCCATTCCAGCTGTCTTCCTGCGGCTAGCCATCCAATCTAAGGTGCCAGGCATGAGAAGAAGCCACATTGCCCCTGCAGACTCAGCAGATGTTGTGTGGAGCAGAGATAAGCTGTCCCCACTAAGCCCTTTCCAAATTTCTAACCCACAGAATAGTGAAAAAGAGTAAAAGAGTGGTTTCTTTGAGCCACTAGACAACAAGTGATAACTGAATGATCTGCCCTCTGGTATGGTGGAGCACCTTTTTGTATATGCATTGACCACTTGCTTTGCTTTACTCTTTTGTAAATTACTTATTTATATCTTCTTTTTTTCTTGGATTGTGTTTTGCTTTTCTGTTCGTAGAGGTTATTTATATAATCTGGATTTGAATCCTTTATTGTTTGGGTATATTACAAATATCTTCTCTGGCTTATCAATTCACCTTTGTATGATCTTTTGACAATCACAAGTTTTTAATTGCAATTGAATTGAAATCACCAATCTTTCTTATTAGATTTTGTGCTTATTGTGTTTTGCATCAGGAATCCTTCTCAACCCTAAAGCCATGAAAAATTTCTCTATATCTCCTTCTAAAATATTGAATGTGTTTTTTTAAATTTTTGTTTTAAATTGACCTAGAATAGTTTTTGGTTATATTGTCAAGTAGGAATTGAATTTCACTTTATTTCCATATAAATAACAATTGACTTCATATTATTAATTGAATAGCCTTTCCTTTTTCCATTGATTAAAAATGTCACCTCTACCACAAAGCAACTTTCCCATACATGTCTGACTCTTTCTGAGCTGCATGCTCCATCAGTCTATTTGCTCCGCCCCACACCAATAGCAAACTGTCTCTATTACTGTAACTTTTTAAGAATTATTGTTATGTGCTAGGATGAGTTGCCACCACTTATCCTTCCTCAAAATCAGTTTGACTATTCTTGGCCCATTCTTATCCCTTTATCTGGGATGAATGTTCTTCCACGTAAGTTATACAATCAAGCCGGCAAATTCCAAAGTTAACCCTATAAAGAATCTGATTTATAGAATACTTTGAGGATAATTTGTATTTATGATATTGAGTTTTCCTATCCACGAATGTGATGTATCTTTCCATTTATTTAGGAACCTTTCAATGTGTTTGAATAAAGTTTAATAATTTCTTCAGAAAGGTCACAAACATTTGTTCTTAGATTTATTCTTTTATATCTTACATTTTTGTTGTTGTTCCCACTGAAATTTGTATCTTTTAAATTGCATTTTCTGACTATTCACTGCTGATAAATAGGAGTGCATCTAATTTTTGTACATTTGTGTCTAACAGCCATCCATCATATTAATTACAATGTTTTTATGTAGATAATTACATAACTTTCAAATAGCAATTTTCTTTTCTTCTGTTACAATTACCTTTTCTTTTGCTGGTCTTCATGTGTGAACCACAACCTCTTGTAAAATGTTAAATAAAAGTGGTGATGGGGCATCCTTTTCCCATTCCTAATTTTAAATGTATTGCTTCTAATGTTTCACCAGATTTCACGATGCTTCCAGTAGGTGTTTTGAACATACATACATACATATATACATATTCTGTATGATTTTTGTAGGATTTTTAATATATGCATGATGATTATACGTTTTCACCCCTTTAACCTGTGAGTGTAGTAAATTTCATAAATAATTTTACAACATTGTCAGTCACGCATCCTTGGGATAAAACTAACTTGATCATGCTGTATTTTTTCCTACTTGCCTTTGGGTTCAGATTTCTAGTATTTTGTTTAAATTTTCAACCTATTTTCTTGAGTGCTACTGGCTCATAATTTTTCTTTCTTTTACAGTCTTTATCTTGTTTAGTATTGAGGTGATACCAGTCTCATTAATGAGTTGGGGGATTAGTCCCTTTTCCCCACCCTTTTCTCTGGAACAGCTGATGTTACAGAAAAGCTTGACAGACTTACTATAAAATCCCCTGAGCTTGGTTTGGCTTTTTGTTCTTAGGTTTTCTTAGTTGATAGATTTTAAGTTACTGATTCAATTACAGTCGATGGTCATTATTTGCAAACTCTGTATTTGCCAATTTGACTACTTGCTAAAATGCATTTGTAATCCCCAAATCAATATTTGTAGTGCTTTTGTGGTCATTTATAAACATGTTCAAAGTGGTGAAAAATTTGAGTCACCCAACACACATACTCCCAGCTGAAGTTGAACAAGGTGATGCCCTACCTTCTTGTCTCAACCGTCATACTATAAACAAATACCTTTTCTGTAATCAATTTAGTACCACATTTTTCACATTTGGGGGTTTTTGGTTGCTGATTTTGCTGTTTAAAATGGCCACGAAGCATGGCATTAAAGTGCTGTCTAGTGTTTCTAAGTGCAAGAGAGCTGTTATGTGCATTACAGAGAAAATACATGTGTTAGATAAGCTTCATTCAGGCATGAGTTGTAGGTTGTTGGCTGTGAGTTCAGTGTTACTAAATCAACAAAATAGTACATCCAAAAAAAAAAAGGAAGAGGAAATTCATTGATCTGTGTGTGATGCTGCCCCAGAAAGTGCTA